CACCCCCCCCCGCGGCCCCCCCCCCGCCGCCGGGCCGCCTCTCGCTGCTGTCGGCGGCGGTCCCATCCGAGTGAGGTGCCGGCTCCGGCAAGTAGGTGCCGCGGTGCCGCTCGGTTCCCTCTGGGTTTCACCGGCCGGTTTCTTGGTGCCCTGCCGGTGGGCCGGCGCGCTGTGGTGTCGCGCGTGGAGTTGAGCTTTCTTTAGCTTGGGCAACCAGCCGTAGCTGTACTTCATCCAGTTTATGCGGTATCAGCGCTCTGTGGCAAAATATTGGTATTTCCTCACCTTTCCTACCAATTCCCTGGGAGACGCTCCTGGATCGTGCTTGCCCGCCTGCTGCCTCGCAATGCTGCTGCTTCAAGGCCGGGCTCGTCCACCTCGTTACATCTCCTCAGTCGCAGTGAACTGCTGTGGTCCAAAAATCCTTCCCGTTAATCCCTTGATCAACGATCTTTGCTTTACACTGTAGAATTTAATTCCAGACCTGTTCATTTTCGAGAAATTATTCCTATCCTCCTCACCAGTAATGCCAACCAGCTTCATAACAGCGACGCCTTAAGTTTGTTTCCAAGGGTCACTTTTCTGTCATCTCTTCTGTCAGTGCTATTTGCCGTCGCCTGCCCTTTGGTTCCTTACCCAATGTCTAGATCTACCAATAGTCAAAGAACGGTACTGAGTTTACCGATGAAGCGATGGTGCATTCTACACTGTGTGAACCGCCCCACGTTGCAAAACAAATTTGCTTCAAACTTTTTAAAACTTCTGCATGCTGTCCCTCTTGTGTGCTGAGTGAGTTTAAGCAAAATGTGGCTAGCCCTTCCATCGTACACAGTGTTCCAGCATATTATTTTTTATAATAGAATGTATAAAATCTATATTATTATATAGATTTCCACTGCTGTGCTGCTGCTGCTTTTCTACTCTGCACCCACATGCCAGATACGGCTAATGGGTGATATTAACCTCTCAGAGTTTTCTGCTCTCTGAGTTATTTTCATTCCTATCTTCCATCTTGCCTTTGCCCCCATAGTTAATACCAACATGGGACTTGATCTACATTGTCTTTAATCTGTCTTCCACCCTAATGTCTTAACTTCTCTGCTCTCTTTCAAGCTGTATGGATGCAGATACTTCAGCTATTTGCATATCCTTGATTTTTTGGATAATTCTTATATTTCATTACTTTCAAGAAATAGCTTTCACTCTGGGAATCAGATCCCTGGTAATCCTAGTGCTAAGCCTGCTCTCTTTTCAAGCCCTTATACTTGTTGACTAGGCATTTTCCTTAGTTCTGTCAGGCTCCAATGAGGGTGATGATGAGGAAAAACTAACATTTACTTTAAATCATTTGCATTAAAACCAAGAAGAAATTGGAGATATTTACCATGACTAGGTCTTGGATTAGTTAGAGGGCTTCCAAAATTCCACTTTTATGTTTTACCCCAGATCTGTCTATACACTGACCTTCTATACCATTATTAGAAGGTCACAGAAAACCATTGCTAGAGATAACCCACAAGATGAAGAAGGAGGCCGCTCAGCATGTTTTATTACTAGCTGTTAATGCCACCAAAACCTCTCATCTTAGTACTCTGAAGATACTGATTATAAATTTCTGACCCAAACTTATGTGAATTCCGTAAGAGTTGCTCCAGTTGTATTACAAATGCATTTGATTTTCTCTCTCCGCTCATGTTTTGAATTTGTGTAAGAGGATGGTGTCTAAATCCTACATAGTCCGTTTGTCCTATAAGCACAAAAGCTGTCAATCATATTGTAGATTGCTTTCTTCAGATTACATTTATTGCTAATATTTTTAACCAAAACTTCTTGTATTTTACTTAAATAAACTTCTGGTTTACAGGTGTGGACTGTTCATAGACTTTTGCAGTAGAACAAATAAACAAAGATACTTCAGCCCTTTTAGTGCAGTGCACTGTCACACAGATCCAGCCATGCCTGCGGAAGGGAAAAGTGATATGGAGAGGATTGGCCTCTTCAGTGAAATGGGTTATGTTACCATTGGAGATAAATATCTATCACATTATATGCGTAAGTACATTTAATTCTAATCACTATTTAGTGATAGGGACCACCTCTAGTATCCATCTACTTTCAGAATCGCTATTTTCTAATGTTTTGGGGTTTTTTTTTGTTAGAGGGAACTGCTTTTTCATGCATATTCTTTGCTTGGGTCTGTATTATTAAAAGAAAGGCTTGATATGTAGGAATGAATATATCGCAGAAAGAAAAAATCCAGTAGAACTGAAAAATATGTATGCAAAATAGGCTGATAAAATCTTTTAGTGTATACATTTATTTTTAATATTAATTATCTGCAAGTTACCAGTATTCTCCTGCTTTTGTGAAAAACAATAGTGTTTTTTGTGTGCTCTTTCAGCAGGTTTTCCGTTATTGACAATTATGTTGTCATTATTTTTAAATTAGTGTTGCAATTTTTTTTCTGTTCTGATCTGACTCAGGTGTGTGAGACTCCCCATCCTGTCTTTTTAAAGAATATTCTCCTTTTTGTTTAATGGGAATACTCATTGAGAAAGGTAATTTTTGTAATTAGTAAGGTTACAGAGGTTAACCCTTAATAGCTGCTTTGAAGTGATAAAGAAAAATAATCCTGGCTTCTCAATACAGACATTTCTGCTGTGTTGTTGTGTCAGTGATGAACATGTCCATCAGAACCCCAGCTGATACAGTTCTGCCACACGGAGCTGCTGGGGATTCAAAACCCAGCTGGAGGCACTTAAGCTATTCTACCCAACCTGTAATCAGTGGGAGAGAGAGATGCTCCTCGGAAGTATTACTCGTAGTATATAAATAGGCATCAGCTCTAGCTCTGAGTTCTAGTCTGGAGTAACCAATCTCTCTCCACTGCCTGTAAAGCAAGTGTAGGGGTTAGAAAACTAGAACTAGGTGCTATGAATACCTTCTCATAGTGTTGTCTTCAAGATGCAACCATTATATGTATGATTTACAAGTTAAATGCTCTGTATTATATTCTTTGAGCCACCCAGATCGAGACCTTAGTTTTTTAATGTAGGCTAAGAGAAGCACTAACACTGAACAGTTATTTACAGTGCTTGCTTTTTTTAAAGGCCCTTTTAATGAAGCTGCAAGCAAGAACAGACAGATGTTACCTGGGGGGACCAAAACGTTGTCAGCTCTGCAGGCAGGTTATTTTGAGCCCCAGTTTGTGAGGATTTTTGATGGTGAAGCCTACTCAAACCCTGTTCAGCTAAGGAGATGCTACAGATTGGCAGAATCAAAGAAAAATTTGGGCAAAGCTTTCCTTCCCAGTAATGGAGACAAATGGCCGTAAGTGTTGTGAAAATCTTTTAAATTGACCTTTTTTCTTTTCTGTACACGAAAGATGATTTTCACAGATTATTTTTTATAAAACCTGTAATAAGAGTACAATAGTTGTTTTATACAATGTAGTCTTAGTACTGAGCAAAGAATTTTGAGCAGCGGTACAGGGAAGGCTGAACACAGGTAGAAATCAGGTCCTGATGCTTGCTCTCAACTACTGTTTTTTGCTGTAAGCAGTTTTATTACCCTTTAGGTTTTTATTTTCAATGAAAATGGCTATGGGGAAAGGGTGTGGATAATTGACAAATTAATATTTCATTTTAATTCAGGAGGAAATCTGTTGGAACTTGTCAGATACAGTATCTTCTCCCTCCCAGTTCTGAGCATCCCAAAATAGAGATGGCATATATATTGCATAAACAGTAGGAAAAGGCGCCGTTATCCAGGTGCAACGTTTTCCTCTCAGCAAATCCATATTCATTATCTTTTTGCTAGAAAAAATACCAATTATCCTATAGGATGATCAGAAGATGTTACATAGCTGAGGCATATATGCAGAATATGAAAATAAATGCATCTTTGCTATTTGCACAACATTAATTGCATGACAGAATGACACCAATGCAGTTGGTGTCACGTAACTGTTGTTATTCACATGTAAAAAAACAGATAGAGCCTCGTTACTCATTTATAACTATGCAATCTTGTTTTGTTCTTCTTGCTACAATAAGAAACAGGAGGATTCAGTCTGTGTACAGGGCCTAGTTCTTACGGTCTCATGGTTTTATTTAGTCATATCTTTCTTCAGCTTTGCTTTTGGAAAGTTTGCAGAGTAACGTCTTGTTTATTTCATGTATATATATTTTAGGATGCAAGGATTAGCTATGTTCT